AGGCCACCAATGGATGCTGGCACCATGTGGCTTGTAATGTCTAATAGGACTAGCACCAGGTAGCTACAGATGTCCTAGGCCCCCTTCATCTGTGCCTGTTGCACCAGTGTGTGCAGAGTGGAGACACTTGTGGTGGTTAGATAGATTTACCCCACCAGTGTGACCAACTGTACAGCTGGTTTTCTTCCCCCCCCTCCCCCCCCCCCGAGAGGCATTGGATAGACTCTGATTGACCTGGTCAGTGCCCCATAAGGCTCCCACCTTCAGGCAGAATAACTGCTGTTTGTCCTGCTATAGGGCTTAAGGGAGTTGAGGGAACTTATTTCTCCACCCCCCCCCCCCTTCCAATTGACTCAATGGCACGTGGACAAATCCTTAATTGGATTTGTATTCTCTGTGGGGAAACTCCATAGTAGTAATGGCAGCCACTACTCTTTCTTACCCTCCGCTGTGCTTAAACCTGTAGTTAGTACTTCTCAGTGTCACACTACAGCCCCCAATCGCCTTTCTGCGTGCCTGGGGGTGTGGGGCCTGAGCCCAATGAATGAGACACTCTCCAGCCTTTCCTAGTGGAGCTGGCCAGCCACTAAAACAGAAGCCAAATGGGCTCTGCTTCCGCCCCCTGCCTGTGGTACCCTTAACTGCTTCGCTGTTACTCCCAGTCAAGTGGAACAGTGTCAGGTTGCGTCTCAATGACTGGAGCAATAAGGACCCAGAGGAAGGAGGGTTTCCAGGTGTCTGGTTTCTGACTGGAATGCGCAGCTGACCGGATGTTAAAAGTCCAGTTACCTGCAGTAACTGGCCTCTGCCATCCAGCCTGACAGAGAGAACAGGCTGGCTGTGTGTGTCCGTCTGCTGCCCTGATTTCCCCTCACTGGCCCCTCTCTCCAGGGACTGACCTCCCCTGCCCCTCTGTGCCTTGATTTCCCTGGCCCCTTGCTATGCCTCAATTTCCCTGGCTCCAGGGACTGACCTCCCACAACCTCCTGTGCTTCAATTTCCCCTGCCTGGCCCCTTGTTCCAGGCATCCTTGGCCCTACTGTACCTTGATTGTTTTTCCCCTCCCCAGGCCTTCACTCCAGGGACTGCCCTGATTTACCTACCCTGACCCCTTACTCTAGGGAGCAACCCCCCTGTCCTGCTGTGCCTTGATTTTTCCACCCCAGCCCCTTGCTCTGGGGACTGACCCCTGCTGAAGGCACTAAACCTAGCTAGTCGCTAGAGGTCAAAGGCATGTGGAGGGTGGCCAGGTGCCTGCTTTTTGACTGGAAAGTCTAGTTGACAAGGGGACCTTACAGGGTCTGGTTGGATCTACTGAGTGGACCCCCAAAGTCTGGTTACTGTGAGTGGGGAGGCAGTGGGTCATCACCTGCTACAGCCTCTACTCAGCTGGGGCGCATCCTACTTTCGTTGGGCATCTGCAGCTTGGGTTGCCAACTTTCTACTTACACAAAACTGAACATGCCCTGCCCCTCTCCTCATCTGAGGCCCTGCCCCTTCTCTGAGCCCCCCCCCCCTCACTCCATTTCCCCCCTCTCCTTTTGTTGCTTGCTCTCCTCACTCGCTTGCTCATTTTCACCAGGCTGCACCAGGGGGTTGGGATACGGGAGAGGGTGAGGACCCTGTGGTGGGGCCAGGGATGAGGGGTTTGGGGTGCAGGAGGATGGGCTGGTGAGGGGTTTGGAGGGTGATCAGAGTTGGGGCATGGAAGGGGTTCAGGGGTGCAGGTTCTGGGTGGCGCTTACCTCAGGCAGCTCCCAGAAGCAGCATCATGCCCCCCCCCCCCGGCTCCTACGTGGAGGTGCGGCCAGGTGGCTCTGCGAGCTGCCCTGTCTGCAGGCGCTGCCCCTACACCTAGGAGTGGGAGAGGTGACATGCTGCTGCTTCTGGGAGTCACCCAGAGCCATGGCAGGCAGGGAGCCTGCCCCCCTGTGCTGCCAACTGGACTTTTAACAGCCTGGTCAGTGGTGCTGACCAGAGCCGCCAGGGTCCCTTTTTGACCGTACGTTCCGGTAGAAAAACCCAAACACCTGGCAACCCTAGCTGCAGCTCCCAGCCCCAGCTCTGCAGATGAGTCCCTCCTGACCCGGGCAGTGGGGGGATGAGAGGGGAAAGCAGCAAGTGAGGGGGGGGGCGGGGTGAGGGGCAGAAGAGGAGTGGAGGGGGGGTGGGGCCTTGGGGAAGGAGGTGGGGTAGGGCTTTGGAAGAATAGGCAGGACACGGGTAGGGCCTTGGGGGAAGAGGCGGGGCAGGGGAGGTTCCCGCACTCTTGCTGGTGAGTTTTAAAATATTATCAAGGTGGCAACGCTAGGTGTCACCGGCATTCTCAAAACCACTGCTGCGGTGTGGGTCCTGCCCACAGCTAACAAGCTGCTTGGAGTGCTCACTGACGCCACACCCCCTGGCTCTTGGGTGCCCGGAAGTAAGATCTTCCAGCCTGGTGCTCCCCTGCCTAGCTCAGGGGCCAATCCTGTAGGTGTTCTCAGCGCATACCTATGACCTGCTACTTGGCACAAAGGCAGCCAGTTCTGGAGTGTGTGTCAAAAGTGATGAGGGGCCTCAGCTGGGATGTGGCCGACTAAGTTCAAATCCCTGCTTTATGTGTAGCAGGGACTTGAAACCCGGCTACTGTGTGCATGTGTCTCTTGGCAGGTTGGCTACCTAGGCCAGGTCAGGTGCCAGGAGTGGGCTCACAGTTGAGCACTCAGCACAGGGAGGCACCAAAAGCCCAGATCAATGGTAGTCAGGTACTTAAATACCTTTTGGAGGCTCTAAGTCTAAGCTCCTCTTTGGTCTTCTGCATTTCACTCTGGGCTATCTTAATCATCTCCCCACTCAGCCTGGGGGCTTCTGAGGCTCCCTGCCTTAGGCACCTAGCTCTCCTCCATGCTGTATGTGGGGGTGCCTAACTCAGGGCAGGAGTCTACTAGGTGGCAGGCTCCTGGGTAGATATGGCCACTGGTGTGGGGCTGGCCCTAGCTGACAGGAAATGCGTGGAGGGGATCATCGCCTTTTTATGTTTGCATGAGATTTCATAGTAGTGTGGGCGCTGCACACCCACTAGTGTTTATAAATGGATGTAGTTATAACCTGGCCATCATATAAATCCTGATATGATGAAAATAGCCAGCCCTGTGCAGTAGAATGCAGCCAGCTTTCTCACTTTTGGAAGCGTAAAATAAGGTGACCAGAGAGCAAGTGTGAAAAATCAGAACACAACTTTCCCCCTGCCCTGGGGTGGGGTGGGGTGGGAGAAGGGCTTTTACAGTTGCATATATAAGATACAGCCACTAATAGTGGAACAGTCCTGATAATAGTGGGATGTCTGAGCACCCTAGCTTAGAAGCCACAGAGTGAGAGATTCTACCTCTGATCCAGGGCTTGATGTTGTAGTACTGTATGTGACACCACTCTTCACTCAACTAGTGTGCAAATAAATTCCTCCATGAAGGTGTAGGAGAAACCTGGGGCTGAAATCAGCCAGGCAGCGAGGCAACTGTTATGGTGTATGCCCTGTGCAGAATTCCCCCCCCGCCCCCAAAGGCTGTTGGCCAAAAACTTTCCCACACGTTTGATCACATGTTTTATTACAAAGATAAGTTTTCAAAGATTCCACCAAATAGCAGGTAAGAGATCCACACCGACAAATACATGACAACGTTAAAAATATATTACAAAGGCTCAGGGTTCAAGGCAATACAGCCAACCCTCAAGCTCTGTTGCTTCCAAAGGGTTGAAGCAAACAGCATGTTTCCTTTTTTTTTTTTTTTTTGCTTTGGAAAAAAGATTAAATAAGCACAGGCCATAAGGCTTGCTCGCCAACCACAGCACCTGGAGCAGCTCCATAGCCTCACACTAATTAGCCTGTTACCTTCCCAGTGTTTCAACACAGGGATCACCATCTCATGGGAACGTCCCCTTGCACCCCTTTGTCACACCCCCGCCGTATGCTCGGACACGTCTCACCTTCAGCTGCCCCACATTGGCCCTGTGTGAATCTGGCAGCTGTTCACAGTTTTTAAAGAAGAAAAATTAAGTTTTTTTTAAAAATCTCTTTCAAAATAAAATGTAGCCCAGCTACATTTGTAACATTTCTAGGCTGAAGCCACTTATTCAGCAACTACAGTTAGACTTCCACAGTGTATGTACTTTTCTGCAGTTCTGGTTAAGCCTTTCTTTCCCCTCTCCCCTCCCCCCCGCAATAATGTGTGTAATTTTTAAAATATATATAATATAAAATCAGCTGTGATGCTCCAAATCCCCATAGAAAGTCTATACTCAAGGCATTTCTGAAACATTTGTGACAGAGGCCCTGGCAATAATCCATCCAGGGGATTTTTTTGGTTGAACCAAAGTAGCTCACCGCCAGGTTGATTATTAGCCAAGTGCTCAGATGGCAGCCATGTGCATTATGGAGATTCCCCTTTAAACCCTGCCTTGGGTGAGGTAGTAGCTTTTTTTGTATTTTTGGTAGTATGAAAGTTTGGTGCCAAACTGGATTTGGAGTTCATGGGCAGTTTGGCTTTTCTTGCATTCATGTGTTGGCGTCTGGTATGTGCAGCTAGCGAAGGCTCCATCTCTAAAAGGGAGCCATGGAATTGTGTTGTGGTCCATCACCGGTGGGCAACAAGGAAGCAAGAGAGCTTGTGTTCCAAGGCGCTGCCCTTCTGCAAGCAGCATAAAGGAGTCTGGGGGTATGTCTACACTACGGGATTAATCCAAATTTAGATAATTCGAATTTGGGAAACAGGTTGTATAAATTCGATTGTGCGCGGCCACACTAAGCACATTAATTCGGTTTTTAACCACATTAATTCGGTGGTGTGCGGCCACACTACCCCATTAATTTAAACACAGTAATTCGGTGGTGTGCGGCCACACTAACCCTAATTCGAATTAACAAAATCGATTTAGGCGCTACTCCGCTCGTCGAGGTGGAGTACAGAAATCGATTTTAAGTGCCCTTTAATTCGAATTAACTGGCTCTGTAGTGTGGACGGGTGAAGGGTTAATTCGGATTAACGCAGCTAAATCCGAATTAAAGTCGTAGTGTAGACCAGGCCTATGAGAGCGAAGTTAGGGTGACATTTTTCTCTGTTATACCACTGTAAATCCAGAGGCAATGTAGCAAAGTTGCTCCAAGTCACAGCAGTTACTCCAGCTTTACAGGCATGTAACTCCATTGACTTGGAGTGACTTAAATGGAGTTACTCTCCATTTACACTGGCTTACCTGTGGGCAGACTTTGTCCCGCAATAGCCTAAAATAGTTGGCGTCATTCCAGCTTGCAGGGATTGCTAGCTAGGCTAATTCTGTAAAAGGCATTTGGAGTGTCACTACATTTTCTTTGCTGCTGTTTGGGCTGATACAGCAATAACCTTCTATTCATTTTAAGTCAGCATGCCAGACACAGCAAGCCCAGAAGCTGTTTTAGGAACAGACCCATAATCCTGGCCTTGATTTAGTTTATTTCCATCACAACGTCCTACATTTTCACCAGTCCCATGAGTATAACTCACAGCTGCTGAGCACCGTGTGAGCTCCAAAAGATGTTCAGCGGGACTACCTGACATTGGGAGCACAGCTTTGGCCAATTCTGCACTGTTCCACCAGTGTAGATACTAAAGAACAAGTTAAACTCACTGGCATTACTCCAGATTTACACTGAGACGAATTCAACTGTGGGTTGTGCATGCTGGAAGATAGGGACGATGGTATGAAGGGAAGAAAACTTTTCCCTTTGACCCCTAACGTATCTTTTCCTTTTACTTCTAGGTAAAATTATTCCTATGACCAGCTGGATGAAAAGTGGCTATTTAGGGGAGATTTGTCAACTCCAGTTCAGTGTGTGCACAAACATCTGGGAAACTTGGGGAAGTGGGAACAGCTGCCCCAACTTGTTCCTCTCTGAGACTGTCAAATGGACAATACAATCCTTCCAGCTAGATAATTACCATTTCCGTTAGGGGTAAAGTGCTTTCGCATGTCTTGACTACTTTGGAAGCAATCTCACTGTCTAGTCCATGAGTTCCCCACCTGGCACAAGTTGCAGATGGAGTGGTTATGTTTACACATACAGTACAAAAATAAAAGGCACAAAAAACATCTAATGCAGCAGATAGTGTACAGTAAACAGATTCCCTGGTATTTAAAACATACAGAAGTAAGAGGTGTATAGTTAAGGGAGTTCTGCTGCTGCTCCAATAGCCTTTGAAATCTCCATTCATCACTCGCTGAGGCTTCCCCGCTGCTTTGCATCCACCATTATCGCTTGCCTAGCCTGGGCTCTAGTCTGCGAGGAGTCTCTCGGGAAGCAGGAATGCAGGGAGATGATGGCTGCTCACACGCAGGTTAAAGGAAAATAGAAAGTGGCACATCTCTAGTTTTGGCTTGAAAGAGCAAATAAATTATGGGCACCACGCAGTGCAGATCAACAAAAGGGATTTGAAGCTATCTGAAACGTTGTTTGGTGGCTTCTCATCCCTTGCTGGCTCATCTCACCAATGGCCATGCCCACCAACAATGTGGTGACACAGTAACCGTAAGAGAACCAATCAAATATATATCTACATGTATATATTTTGTTTAAAGGCATGTTCCCTAGTGGACAGTGCACTACAGAGAAGGTCACTTCCAGGAGCAGGTTCGGTCCAGAGCACCCCCTAGGCCTCACTGCAACACTCGTAAATATTGTCCTCCATGAGCGCGATCACTTGCTCAAACTTGTGCTGCAGCTGCGTGCGTCTCGTGGTGGGGTTGGAGTCCAGGGCATTCACTATCTGTAGGAGCAAGAGCAGTGAAGCGATTAATGCAACATGCGCCAGCCTTGCCCTTTCTGTGTTCCAAACAGGTGGTGTGGGGAAAGGATGAACCATCCGGGCCTGATGAGGTGTGGAGGAGGGGGCTATTTATTTGCCCTGTTACTGGATTTTTTTCAGCATCCCCCCCTCCCTCCCCAGCCTTTTGTTAAGCATTTTTGGAGCCACAGATTGCTGACTGATCCAGGCTACATTTCACTTTCAGCCATCCTTGCCAAACAGCACTCAGATCAGATGAGACTAGGTTACTGGTCTTCAAGCAGCCAAGGGATCGGAGAGAGAGAGAGAGAGAGAGAGAGTGTGAGTGTGTGTGTGCGTGTGCGTGTGCTGGCTGCCACCTCAGGGCTGGGCCAGCTCACTGTAAAACAAATAGGACTGCATTAGGACTGCTCTTTAAAGGGGGGCTCACCTGGGCCTCCTTTTCCACACCCACAGATTTGTGGGGACAATTAACTGTGGGTGGAAGTGAAGGCACATAGATATCTGGCTATCTGATTTGTGGGCACAACAAGGAGCCACCTACATGCTCTCATTTGCATCCACAAACACTTGCAAGAGCAAACTTCAGGCCAGAAGAAGGGAGAAGGACTTGTAAATTGAGACCTGTTCTGAATTCGCTGGTGATCTGACAAAAGGGTTGAAAATGTACCTAGGTTTTAAAAAAATCTGTAACTGACTTTACAGAAAGGAGAGAGAGAGGGTTGAGTGGAGACAAAGAGAGAGAGAGAGAGAGAGAGACACCAGACAGATATGGACATCCTAGGACAGCTAAGGCCATTCCATCAGTAACAAAGAACAGTCTCTTCCTTGTTCAGACTCTTTTCGGTGGGACTGAGGACTGATAAATCACAAAAGGACATCAGAGAGACAAGGTAAGGAAGGTAATATCTTTTATTGGACTAACTTCTGTTGGTGAAAGAGACAAGCTTTTGAGATTACACAGAGCTCAGAGGTCTGGGATTGTTGTAATCCAGTGGCTCTATTCGGTCCATGATTTTTTAGAATCTAGCAAAGTTATGAATTTAAGTTTAAAGCATAACTCTGTTAGACATGAAAAATCATGGACTGAATAGAGACACTGGATTTATGGCTTATTAAAACAATGTATAACTCACTAACAGCCCCCCTCCTAGCTACCTCTACCACCCCTCCCGTTTCTTTCCCCCCTACGTCTGGAGGGGTGTTAATGCGCCACTTCACCTTGAATAGTTCCTTGAAATATGTGTTTACTTATGCTGAGCAATCTGTTCCACCTTACATTTAGCTGTGACACTCTGAGGACCTTTCCCAGACCTGAAGAAAAGCTCTGTGAAGCTTGGAAGCGTGTCTCTCTCACCAACAGAAGTTGGTCCAATAAAAGATATTACCTCACCCATCCTGTCTCTCTAATATCCTGAGACTGACATGGCTACACCAATGCTGCATATAAAAGGACATCAGATATTTCCTGGAATGCTGAGTACTGACTTCACCTCCAGACAAATGAAGCTGCTTACCTGAGTGCGGTATCTTTTGGCATATTTGTATATTTCAGCCATGGCCACGTTGGTGTTAAACTCATTCCGATATTTCTTCATAAAAGATAAAACAAACAGGGGAGGAATATTAATCCAAATGCAGGAATCCAGGTCGTTCAACAAAAAGCAACTGGAGTAATAAAAGGCTTAGATCTGATGTGCTGTAAGTTAACACTGGATCAAAATGCTTGGACTCTTGTTCCCGTCTACATTATTCAAGATATATGTTATACTTGTTTAGTGACTTCAGAGGCAAAGGCCAAAATTTATTCCTGGCACAAACAGGGCCCACCTCCATAGATTACAGTGGGAGTGGCATTTGTTTATGCCAGGGATGAATTTGGCACCATTTTAATAATACTATATAGAACTGGGGTGTATGGGGTTGTCACGGAGGGGTAGTACCTCTGATGGGGGAGCAGTCATACTCCTAGGAGTAGCTCATCCACTTTGGTCCCCACTTGACACCCAGCTCTCACCTGTGGCTCCAAGTAGCTGTCAGCATGCGACAGCGGCCACACCCCGGAGACCGTCTCGACTGGCGGGCTAAACCAGGTGAGGGTAGCCGATGAGTATGAGACTCTCGGTGAGTTAGGGCCTGTCTACCCATTGCATGCAAAGGCTGGATCCGGCTGACTGAGGCAACCTGGTTCAATGGTCAGGAAGGCGGTGACAGCAAGCGTTGTGGAACGCTTAAGAGCACGACAAGACACGTAGGCATCCTGGCCATCCACTGCGCCCTGCCCTATCTCCAGCCGTCTCGACTTCTGTCCTGCCACTGGATACAGATAGGAACTGGGAAGAGAGAGTGAGGCTGACGTTGCGCAACTCTCCCTCACTTTAATCCAATTCACGTGCAAGTCTCGACATCATATATATCATATCATATATCACATCATATCAAGTCCTGTGGCGATGGGCGAGCAACAAAGCAGCAGGTGTGGATACACTGGGAGCTGTAGCCGCGGACCTGCACGTAGGCGGCTCAGGCATAATGGTCGTTCCTCACTGACCGAAGCAGCAGTGGAGCTCGGCATCTTCTTGAGCGACTGAGCAGCCCTATTCAGGATTGCACTGCTCACCTCCGTAGAATGAGGAGGGGGCTAGAAAAGGTGCCCTAAACATTGCCTGCTTCACCTTACCCTGGCCAGCACACCGCGGCTGGCGGGGATCCCATAAAAGCGGTCGAACAAAAACAAAAACAAAACTTAGAGTGACACCGATCACTATTGGCACATGGAATGTGCGCACGTTACTGGACAACATCACGGCAGACAAACCGGAGAGAAGAACAGCACTTGTCGCTAGAGAGCTCGCACGCTTCAACATTGACATTGCAGCCCTTAGCGAAACTCGCCTTGCTAATGAAGGACAGCTGTCCGAGTCAGGCAGTGGCTATACATTCTTCTGGAGTGGCCGCAGCAGTGATGAGCGTCGCAAATCTGGAGTTGGCTTCGCCATCAAGAATCATCTTGTTCGGAAACTTGCCAGGTCCCCCAAGGGTATGAATGACCGGCTCATGATAATGCAGCTTCCGCTTCAAAAAGGAAAACAAGCTACTTTGATCAGCGCATATGCTCCTACAATGACCAACCCAGAGGATGTGAAGGATAAATTCTACGAAGAACTAGATACTCTACTATCGTCAGTGCACCGCACAGACAAGCTGATTCTGCTTGGCGATTTTAACGCAAGAGTCGGATGCGATGCTGCAGCCTGGGAAGGAGTCATCGGGAAAAATGGAGTGGGAAAGTGTAACAGCAATGGCCTGTTACTGCTGAAAACTTGTGCAGCACATGACCTTCTGATCAGCAATACGGTCTTCCGCCTTCCTACCTGTAACAGGACTTCGTGGATGCATCCCCGTTCCAAGCACTGGCATTTGATCGATTATGTCATCATTAGGAGAAGGGACAGACAAGGTGTCAGGGTTACAAAAGCTATGTGTGGCGCTGACTGTTGGATGGATCATAGGCTCATAGTATCCAAAATGAAGCTCCGTATCATGCCGAAGAGACGACCACAAGGCTGTAAGGCTTTCAAAAGGATCAATGTGTCGAAGCTGAAGAACAGCCGCATCACTGAAAATCTGGCGGAAGATCTAGAGAATGAGCTTGCTGATCTTCGTATTGAGGATGACGCTGAGAAAGACTGGGAGCGATTCCACAACACTGTCCATACAGCTGCATCGAAGGTATTGGGGCCCTCCACATGCAGGCGGCAAGACTGGTTTGATGAAAATGATGCAGAAATCCAGGCCTTACTTGCTAAGAAGCACCGCCTGCATCGTGTATATCAAAACGATCCATCCTCAGCGGCAAAGAAGACCGCCTTTATCAACGCTCGCAGAACAGTACAGAACCGACTGCACAAAATGTGGGACTTGTGGCTGAGCGCCAAAGCAGATGAAATACAGGCACATGCGGACAGGAACGACTATAAGCAGTTTTATGAAGCCCTTAACACACTCTATGGTCCACAGTCTTCTGGGAGCTTTCCCCTCCTGAGCTCTGATGGTACTGTGCTCCTTACAGAGAAGACGCAGATTCTCCAGAGATGGGCTGAACACTTTGAAGCAATTCTCAATCGCCCCTCAGTCATCAATGATGAGGCCATTGACAAGATGCCCCGGGTTGCAGTCAATGACTCCATGGATGCTTCACCAGAAGAGGATGAAGTGAAGAAAGCTATCAATCAGCTGTCAAGTGGCAAAGCCCCAATGCCATACCAGCAGAGGTGTACAGTCGGTGGACCCGTGCTGCTACGGAAACTCACTGAGCTGTTTCAGTCCTTCTGGAAGCAGGGAACCATTCCACAAGAATTTAGAGACGCGTCCATCTTGCACCTCTATAAGAGGAAGGGCAATCGCCAGGTATGCGACAATCACCGTGGAATCTCGCTGCTTTCTACAGTGGGGAAAGTTCTTGCACGGGTTCTGTTGAACCGATTGATCACTCACCTGGAGAAGGGCTTACTGCCAGAATCACAGTGTGGCTTCCGCAAGGGACGTAGGACTATTGACATGATCTTCGCTGTGCGTCAGCTACAGGCGAAATGTCAAGAGCAGAATCGTGAACTCTACACAACTTTTGTGGACCTCACGAAAGCATTTGACTCTGTCAGTTGCCAGGGCCTGTGGAGGATCATGTCGAAATTTGGCTGTCCAGACAGATTTATATGAATGGTACGTCAATTTCATCATGGTATGATGGCTCGTGTCCTGGATGACAGTGAAATATCTGAGGCCTTCCCAGTCACCAACGGCGTCAAGCAAGGGTGTGTTTTAGCACCCATTTTGTTCAGCATGATATTCTCTGCCACTTTGACTGATGCCTTTCAACACTGCACTGAAGAAGTAGGACTGAAGTATAGAACTGATGGGAAACTATTCAATCTGAGGCGACTGCGTGCCATCACCAAGGTGAAGGAAACTGTACTTCAGACTTTCTCTTTGCCGATGATTGTGCTCTGAATGCTAGTACAGAGCCAGAAATGCAAGCCAGTATGGACAAATTTTCAACTGCATGCAACAACTTCGGTCTCACCATTAACATCAAGAAGACTGAGGTTATGCACCAGCCAGTTCCCCACGCTCCGTACTCAGAACCGTCCATCACTGTAAATGGACAGAGACTTCAGACAGTGGACCACTTCACGTATCTGGGCAGTACCCTTTCCCGAGCAGTGTCAATTGATGATGAAGTAAACTGCAGAATTGCTAAAGCCAGCTCTGCATTTGGCCGATTGCGCTCCAATGTTTGGGAACGTCGAGGGATCAGCTTACCAACGAAGCTGAAGGTCTACCGAGCAGTGGTGCTTCCAACTCTGCTGTACGCCTGCGAGATGTGGACTGTCTATCGGAGTCATGCACGAAGGCTCAATCACTGCCACATTTCCTGTCTGCAAAAGCTTCTAAAAATCATATGGCAGGACATAGTGCCCAATACTGATGTCCTTACTAGAGCCAGTCTGCCATCAGTTCACACATTGCTGATGAGAGCCCAGACCAGGTGGGCCGGACATGTTGTGAGAATGTCAGATGAACGGATTCCTAAACAGCTCTTCTACGGAGAACTCACTCAGGGAAAGCGCTCCCATGGAGGACAAAAGAAGCGGTTCAAGGACACGCTGAAGACCTCTTTGAAGTCCTTTGAGATCAATACCGCCACATGGGAAACCTTCGCACTGAACCGTTCAGAATGGCACAGCCTCATTCACACAGGCAGTAATACTTCTGAGGCGAGGCGTATTGCTGAGGCTGAAAAAAAGCGTGAGCTGCGCAAGTCCAGAGCTGCTCATACATCATCGACAGTGCCATTACGTGTCTGCTCGACGTGTGACAGGACGTTCCACGCCCGAATCGGACTGATCAGTCATCTTCGGACGCATAGAGCCCGGTCATCGAAAGAATGAGTTGTTGAGGTCTTCATCGATAACGATGGACGAACATCATCAATATAGCACCATTCATCTGTAGATCTCTGTGATGGGGTGTATACCCCAGCCTGGCGTGTATATCCCAATTAATCCACCTGGTTGCATGTGAAGGGTGGGCCAGGACTCATAAAAGCTGAAGCCCAGCTGGGGAGTCGAGGGCAGAAGGGGTCTGCAGAGAGTGAAGGAAGAACGCTGTAGTTACTCTTTTGGTGGCAGACAGCAGAGGAACGGCATATAGCAGTTGGCTGTAGCAGTTCTGATGGTGTTGGGTGTCCCTGCTGGATAGCTGAGCCCAGAGGTAAAGGGGAAGAACTGGCTCCACCAGGGAGAGGCTAAACCCAAGAGCAGGTGGTGATCCTGAAGCAGCTTGGCAGAGATAAAACTTGTGGCCATGGAGGCCTGGGGAGTTTAATGCTACAGAGAGCTCTGATGCGAGAGGTGGAGTGGATCGGGAACACAGCCAAGAGCAGGAACCAGATTCCCAGGGAGCGAGCCCTGGGAGGCACTGGCACTATTAGAGCCTGCAAAGGGGCTGGGGAGAAAGCTTGGGGGGGGGAAAGGCTATAGTAGGAAGAGGTCCAGGGAGGCAGCAGCAAGGAGGCAGGTGGAGAAGACTTTGGTTATAGGGCTATAGGGTCCCTGGACTGGGTTTCCCTACCAGCCACTGGGCAGGTGGTCTGAGGCCCCTGAGAAGGGGCGAAGGATGACTGAAAACCCTCAGTGAAGGGCTGTAGAGATGATGCAACACATATTCAAGGGCCAAAGACCGGATGAAAGGTTTAGACTCTGGTTGGACTTCTTGTTATCCCGGAAAGGGTGGAACTTAATGGTGACCTGGCCAGAGGGCTGAATTGTGAGATGAGACAGATCACAGTGAGAGCTGAGTATCTGTTCGCAGAAGTGCTAGGGAGGAAAAAGCCGCTATGCCTGTCCAGCCACGAGAGGGCATGCCAGCCGCGTGTCAACCCTTCCACAATCTCCAAGCACATCACAGAGGTGGGTCAGAAAGAGCTGGTTGGGAAACTTCTGACAAAATATCTTTCATTGGAATTTGCAGTTTTGTTAACTGCAATGCTTTTGTGGAGATGGTTCTATTTTGATGAAGTGCCGATGGAACCCAGGCAGAAAACCTGACTGTCAGGCAGGTTTTGAAACATGCCTGGTTTCCTAGCTCACCTGCCTAGCTTCCCAGTAGCTCATCAGACAGATTGCCTCAGAACTGGGGACCTCAGGGCTTCTAGACTCTTTGGGAAGCTGGCTCCCTCGGCTTCCAACTCCCAAGAGCAGGGTGCTTGGGTAGCCAGCTGGCCTCGGAGCCATGGGAGACTTGGCTCCCAGCACCTTGGCAGCCTGCCAGGCAGAGTTTTGTTAAAAAAAAATCTAAATGGAATGTTTCAGTTTTCCAAATCAATTTTTTTTTATTTGTTGCATGGAGAACATCAAAATTTTGTTTTCATTCCAAATCCTCTGCAAACTGGAATTACTGTTCTCAGGCCAGCTCTATTATCCTCATTTTATAGAGGGGGAAACTGAAGCACTTAGCAGTGGAATCACAAACAAAGACACTGGCAGACCTGGCACAGAACCCAAGTTTGTTCACTCCCAGTGCAGGGAAGCGCTGGTCCACCCTGATGTGCTAGAGAGGGCCTTAGCTTCAGAGTCAACTGCCTTTTGGTTCATTAGAATTCTTCTGTCTTCACAGCAGCACATCACTCATTCCTACCAGGCTCCTCTTTAGGGCAAATAAACAGGGCCAATGCCTGACAATTTGAAGCTTGCAGCCAGAGAAAGTGGAGTTAGTGGATCTGGCTCTGTTTATATAGAGCGAGGAGAAATGATTTGTCCTTTTCTGTTCCTACTTCAGCATTAGCATGTATGATGCTCAACAGCAGTGCCCTGTGCTGCACTACCCAATGTCCTGTACTGCAGACAGCTGATCCCTGCCTGCTGTTCCCATAGGTTACCTACCAACCTTGTAACCATTACGGCAGCCAGAAAAGGCGTGCTCAGCAGCTTGGAGAACAACACCACAGTCCCACAACAGGTTCTGTGGGGCTGCTCCTACTCCAGTGGACACCAGTGGGTGGGTGAGTGAGTGGACCCTCTTTAAAGCTACTGTGGCTTTGCGGATTTCTTACCCGTGACTCCTCTGCGAGATGTGCATTCATTTCCTGCTCACTGAGAGGGGGCATGTCGTGGATCTGTTTGTAATAGCGCTGCACTATTTTCCTATACTCTGGAATCTCCTTGGCATACAGTAGTTTATTGGTAGGTGAGTCCTAGAAAGAGAGAGAGAGAGAGAGAGAGAGATGGATATTTCATTGGCTCCAAGGCTCATGGCTTATTCCCTGGTCATCCGGGCTTCACATTGGAAGGCTAATACGAAGTTTTTAAAACAAGAACTTCAACTGTGTTAAGGAAAAAGCTAAACTTTTGGGTCCTGGTTTTAACCAATAAGATGCACAAAATGTGTGCACTATTGCATGACTAATGTGCACGTACAACTGCTAAGACTGCATGTAAATCAGGGTACTGGGTACATACATGATGAGGTGTTGCCCAAATTTACACATTCATTTTGGGCACGCAGACTGTTTAAAAATCAAGTTCTTTATGTCACGTTGGTGGGAGGGACTGAGCTTTGCAGGTTGACATATTGGCCTTTGGATTCTTTTTCAATAGAGGTTTGATTTATTTTTAGTTGTCTAAAACACTGTGTCCAGCTCATATTGTGTCTGATCGAGTGCATGTAAATTAATAAAGGGAAAATACCAAATTCACTTTGTTTTGTCCAAGTGGGACATTAATCATTTCATTCTCCCTGCCAGCTATCAGGGATGGTATAGCCCCACCAGCACCCACTCAGGCAAAAGTCCGAGCAAACTGGTGGGATCAAACTGATCCTCCAGGTAGTGCCATTCCTTTCAATAGTGTTACCCTGGGAATGACCTGGGCCTATTACCTTTACACTGTGCCCTGAAGGTCAACAGACTGTCTGTTGGGATAAGGAAGGGAGCAAGTTCTAGACTGAATGATGCTGTATTGAGACTAGCCTGTCCCAACCCCCAGACACACAAGTTCAGGGACTATTAGCAAGAGCACACCAGCTGACCCCAAATGTTGCAGCTACACAGGGAGGGGATGGGTCCTTCAGCTAGAAAACCAGGTAAGGCCTTCAAGGTTGATATTAGCACCTTGAAATGCACCGGGCCATTACCAGGAAGCCAGGGAAGCCTTTATGGCACAGTTGCAATATGGGGTGTGGCTAGCACTAGTAAGGGTATGTCTACACTTTTTCTGGAGGTGTAATTTTCAGCTTGAGGAGACATACCTGTGCTAGCTCTGGTGGCGCATAATGGCAGTGTAGCTGCAGTGGTGGGAGGGGCTACCCACGCCGCATACATCCCTAGCATCTCCCATGGGATAACGCTTGGGGCAGCTGGTCCTTTCCACCACTTATGCTGCTGTGGTAGCACTTCTATTTTTAGGGTACTAGCTAGTGCAGGCATGTTTCCTTGAGGTGGCACTTATACTACCAACTCAAAGTGGAGACATACCCTTACTAAATGGGCAGCAGCATTCAGCATCAGCTGTAGGGTCTGTGGGGTTTCAACCCCACAGACTGCATTTGTGCAATGCCCTGCATATTTATATAGCCTGTTTATAACATTTCCTTTACAAAGCTCAGAGGGAACCAAACTTCCTCTTAGGCCAGGTCTACACTACCGCGGTAGTTCGACGGCTGGCAATCGAACTTCCGGGTTCGATTTATCGCGTCTGGTCTGGACGCGATAATTCGAACCAGGAAGTGCTCGCCGTCGACTGCGGTACTCCACCTCAGTGAGAGGAGTACCGCGGAGTCGACGGGGAGCCTGCCTGCCGCGTGTGGACCGCGTCTGAACCGCGGTAAATTCGAACTAAGGTATGTCGACTTCAGCTACGTTATTCACGTAGCTGAAGTTGCGTACCTTAGATCGAATTGGGGTGTTAGTGTAGACCAGGCCTTAGTTATTTCTCAGTTTCTGTACGCATACGTATTATAAATTGCATGTTGGCACAGGGACTGCATGTTACAGTTTATTACATACACGGAATACAGATATATGTGATCTGATTCTAATCTGATACCAATTTAAACTGGGAGTAGCTCCACTGAAGGCTGTGCAATTACATCAGTGTAAGGCTGGTGACATACTGTATATACAGGCCACTTTACTTTTATGCGGGAGATTTATTCTTCCCACATTACTCAACGATTCCTTTCTTATGCTATTGTGTTTCTGAAAACATTTCCATCTGCTGTCTGACCCCAGCTGACCCCCCTCTTCTCTAATCGACAGTTTGACAAGGACAAATTATAGGTGTTTCGTAACAGACTTAAAAATGTTCAAAACCCAAACAAACAAAAATCAAGCACTCATTAGATCTTCCTCCAGTATTAAATCTCTCCCAGTAAAGACTTCCTGATGCTTTTAATTTAGGTGGAATGCTCTGCTCCGACACCCAGCCCCCACAGGGTGTGCTCTGCGTCACATACTGCACCATGAGGACATGATTTACAGCACTCATGCATAAAACTTATTTATGTCAGGAAGTTTCAGATGTCAACACCAAACTCAGCGGAGCCAAAGGGAGGACAATAAAACACACACAACCTCTCTTCCTTCTAGCTGCTTGAGCTATGGAGTTTGAGGATGATGTGAGTTACATGGGGGTAAAACGGATAGCAGTGAGAGGAGACCCAGGCCCATACTTTCTAGACTGCTGTATATTTACAGTCCGTTCCTTGAGTCCTTACTTCCATGATTTCAATTAGACTGTTTGTGGGATAAAGAGCTGCAGGATTAGGCCCATAAAGACCAATAACTGTTCTGAAATACTAACATTTATCTGTGGTAAAGTGCAGAGGGTAGCCTCAGCAACATAAAATCCCAAGAGGAAGCTAGATGCTTGGGCCTGATTCTGATCTCCCTCAAATCAAGAGTAACTCCACTGAAGTCAATGGTGTTACAGCGAGGTAAAATCACTGACTGAGTAGAATCAGATGCCTAGATACTAGGGTGATGGGCATATTCAAAATAGTTAGGGTAGAACTAAACTGATTAATCCTATGTGAATTGATGGTGCCTAGATCCGCCACCTGATCTTGGCAAAGTCTCTGAAGGCAAAAATACTCATTCTTGCTTAGCCACATGCAGTTGTAGAGTTACATAATCAGAGCACTGCTCACCTGAACAAACCGGGACATGTAGCTTTTAGTTTTACAACACTGAAAATGATCCCTTCTGGAAACACCACCAGAACTTAATAAAGAATGATCGCTTTTCTGTAGGTGTGGTTGAACTGCCTAGAGACCAGTATACCCTATGATAGCCCTGCTAGAAATCAAATGACCTATTAAAAAGATTAGATGCTCTTTAGGGCAGGGACTGTGTGTTTGTATATGTTTGTAATGCTCTTAGCACAATGGGAGCTGATCCTGATTTCTGGCTACTACCATCATAAAAATAAATAAGACCCTGATCCTGCAAACAATTACACATGTGCTTAAAACAGAAGTCAATATCCCTGCTTGTGTGTAAAATAAAGCACATGTGTAACTGTTTTTCAGGCTTGGGGCATAAATAAATAATCTCTCTCTCTCTGTCATGTTTTCAGAGTATTTTCGATAGGCCCCTGTAAGGTTTCATACCTGTTTGATTCCACATGACTTTTCTATACAGGACAAACAATACCTCATGCTGTTGGGCTGAGGAACACAGAGATCTTGCTTTATAAATGCTGGAATATGTGCTAGGGGCAGGATGAGAGCCTCATACTAACAGTACTTATATTGCACTTGATATTTCCAAAGAGCTTTATATAAGTGGATTTGGTAACCCTTTAATTCCTGAGGTAGATTAATATTATTAGCCCTATTTCACAGATAGGAAACCTGAGTGGTTAAAGCCTAAATTCCCTAAAGTGCAAGTGAACTGCCACATAGACCTCACCTGCCTGTGGGCTATGCCCGATGCACGCATGCAAGTCAGGGCTGATTCTGTGTGCACAGCTCTATTTGTACCCAACCCTGACATTGCATGGTCAGAGGTGTGTGCAAAAAAGGTCCACACACGTGGCATATGCACCCTCAGTTTGGGGAGGCGAGCCCCCTGCCCTGCCCCTTCCACCCGAGGCTCTGCCCCCCCAGCTCTTGCTAGCTGGACCACCAGCGCTGTCCTGAACCCCGGCCAGCCCCTGGAGCACAGGAGAAGCCTCGAGCCTGGGCTGGCCTGCCAGCACCCGGAGCAGTCCAGAGGAGCCCCGGCTGGCCAGGACTGAGCCCCTGAGCCTGGGCCACCCAGAAGAGCTCAGAGCCCCGCCATGGCCCAGCCCCGGGGCTGCAGCAGGGAGCATTAGTGGACGTTTGGGAAGGCTTAGCCTCCCACAGCCTCTTTCACCCACTGCCCATGCGCACACACGTCGAAAATTTAGGACCAAGGGCTAGAATCTCAAGTGATTTAGGTGCTTAACACCTATTGATTTCAGTGGGAGTTAGGTGCCTAAATACCTGTGATGTTCTGGGTCTAGGTCACTTGGCCAAGGCCTCAAAGAAAGTCAATGGTGGAGCTTAGATGAGATTGCAGTAGTGTCTGGCTCCCAGTCTTGTGCTTAGTTCACTAAAGCCTTGTCTACGCTAGAAAAAGGACTACACCAGCAAACCCTGCTAGTGGAGGCCAGTTTATACTGATTTTGTCAGTATAGCGTCTACCAGTTCCCTGAATGGAATAGGCAATATTGCAAAAGGACTTTTGTTTTGGTCCATATAATTCCATGTCCACCAGGGCTTTTGCGAGCATAGCTGTGTCTCTTTGGGGGGGGGGGGAGGGGGGATTTTTCACATTCCTAACAGATGTAAGCTAATCTGGCAAACCAAAGTATAGACCAGGTCTCCATCGTGCTGCCCAACATGGAACAGACCACAAGCCAATTTTCAACCTGCCTTAATGTTTTCAGTGTTAAGGGCTTGATTCTTCTCTCTCTTCCACCAGGGTCATTCAGAGATAGCTTTGTTGAAGTCACTGAAGTTGAACTGTTGTAAGTGAGATGAGATTCTCACTTCTATTTGAAGTTGCATTAAAATTTTCCTTCTGACTCTTAAACTCTTGTTAATGCAGGTCAGGAGTTGGTGCACAGCCTCTGCATGGGACTCTCAGACAGAGCGTCACAGAAAGCTGGAGATGGGGCCTACTTGCAAAACTGGGATTTGGATTGGAGACTGCCTGAGATTCAGGAGTGTCAGCACCCCAGGTTTGATGGGGCCCATCCTTACACTTTTCAGACCAATGGCTGCCATCAGTCATTATGTCAGCCGTAATTAACACACATACTGTCATAAACCCATTTCTCTGTGTACTCATGGTGACGGCTGTTTCTCAGTTTGAGCTTTTATCCTATTGGGCTCAGCAATACAGATTTCCTTGAAGAAGGGGAACAATACACAGGGCAGCCCACCACCTGGTCTACTGATGAAGGACCCAGAATAATCCATTCACCATTTAGGCCTCAATTTCCTTAACTTCCCAGACTCTGGCTCCCATGTTGCCTATCATTCCAGCATGCCTACAACCATGCATTCCCATCACCCAATCTCAATTCTTGTAAGACCAACCCTGAGCAGAGAGTGGGGTGAAGGGAAAGTTCCATCTTAGTGGGAGCTGCAGATCTGTACCTTGCCCAGCTGTAGGTCGGAAATGGAACAGGCATCGATGAAGGCCTGGGCTATGACAGAGAGACAGGCGTCTATATGGTCAGTCTTGTCGATGTCAAAGACAAACTGGGGATTCTTCAGAATGTTGACCCAAAACCTCAGAGGTAGGCTGCACGGGAAAGCATCAGAAACAGACTGTATGAGCTTCGCCATTCCCAGATCACTCCAGAGTGATTTGAGAATAAGAAAGAAAAAAGCAGAAGGGATGATGGAGGAGAAAAAACACAAGAAAAAAAGAAAAGGGAAAAATATGGAGACAAGGTTATTATTTAATTGTTGTTACCATCCCTTGCCCTGCCTCACCTTGGCTAGAAGGGGCAGGCATTTGTTTCACAGATGACGGGGTGTTTCCCTTAGGGTGCAGTGTGAGGATCAGGCATGGAGTATGCATGAATATCCCTACCTACGTATGATCGCTACATTACACCTTGAGTAATTAATTGAGCCTTGCATCGTCCATGAAAGATCTTTGTGCTTTTGCCTGTAAATTTAGAACTAACTTCCTACAAGTGGTGCTGATCCCTGTCCATCCGTCCCAGTGTCAGAATGTAACTAAGGCTTGATGGGTGGGCATGGTCCTGGGAAACATCCCTTGTGTCTGACCTTCAATACGTTTTCTCTCTCTCCAAGGGCATGAGCCCAGATGGTCATTGCTGTCTTGGTCTTTTTTGTCACTTTCACCCTGTCTTCCTAGCACAGATGTTTGGAACACCTTTGTGGCAGCTATTTCTGTACTGGTGAGATTGCCTTGCAAACACAACTTGCCACGAAATGGCTACAGCACAGACAGCAGCAGTGCAAACTTCTCTTCACCTGCTCCTTCCTGGCCTAGATGGACCAGTTCCGTGGCTCATGCGTTCCTTGGCTTTGCAGCTGAGGCTGCCAGCTCAAAGTGCCAATGGGGATGGAGAGGCCTGCCCACGAGGCATTGTACTGAGACCACCAACCAGAACTCCGAGCATCTGATGATAACAACTCTGGCTCACAACCAGCTTGGACTGGATTAGAACCAGCAGCCAAGGAAGGAGAAGCTCTGTAGCCCATTAGCAGCCCTATCTATTGGCGCATCAAAAACCTGGAGATAAAGTTTCCATATCCTAAACCAAACAATTATGCTAATTTGCATACCCACTGAGCTTCCCTCCCAAAGCATGTTCTTAATTTCCATGAGTTGGGGTTGGAACAGCTGGTCCCATTGCGGCAACTTCAGGGCCAGCTGCCCCTCTCATCTGAGAGGAGCTGAGCCCCTCCTTCAAGCTCCCCCTCCCCTTTCCCTTTTTTGTGGGCCAGACTCAGGATTTCTGAATACCTGAGGTTGGCAATATTGCTAGCTCTCTGTCCCCACTTGCCCCTCTGCTTTTCTGTCCCCCTTTCTGTCCCTTTTTCCTCTGTCCCTTAGTTGTACCCCTCAGCTCTCCGTTTCTGCCCCCGCCCCAGTTCTCTGCCGTACCAAGCACTCTAAATCCTGTATTCGTTACCAGCTCTCTGCATTATCACTCTAATGATTATTTCAGGGCACTGTGGCTTTGCATCTACTTGTCCTGTGAGCTGGAAAGGAAGGAAATAATGGGTCGCATCTTCCAAACCTGTTGGTTTTCCAAATATGCAAAGTGTCAGGGTCAGAGATCCCTCTTTTCTCCGCTTGCTCCTCCAGAAAGTCAAAGAAATACTTGATAGCCACAGGCGGCTTGTCCTCTCGCATACAGAGAATGGCTTTGAATAGGTCATCCAGGAACTTCTGCAGTGTTCCCTAGGGGACAAGCGCACATAGCATTGGCCAAGGTGAAGCAACAACTAAAACAAAGTTACTATTCTAAGGGGATTGGGTTTGCTCTTCACAAGTGGAAGAGACTTCGCTGCCAGTTTAGTAAATTGAGGGAGGGAGGGGATGCAAAACGGGAGAGAGAAAGGTTAGTTTTGTGCATGGTGATATAATTAGCTCCAGTTTGGATTTAATTTCTTTTGGCATAGAGGTTGCTTTTTCTTGCTGCTGGGATCTCAGAGCACATCTGTGATTGTTCTGCACAGTAAATAGAAAACTAGAGACTGTTGGCCATTCTTATGATCTCTGGTCCAGCTATACATCACACTGGGATTAAAGACGGGCTTGAGCCCAAGCCCTGGATCCAAACACTCTTGAAGTGTAGGGAAGTTCCAAACCGAATGCAGACTGAACCAAGGCTCTTCCCCCTCCTCTGACCTGAACATCCCCAAACTTTGGGGAAGTCTGTGCCCAAATCTTAATTTTGGGTCTTGAGCCTCTGTCGTAATCCGAATCCCTTTCCTAAGTGTATAGGCCAGGCCAGGCCACAGGGAGGTAACGTGTGGCTTCATTAGGCAGATTACCAGCTAGAAAGTCAGAGAAAACTATAGAGTCTGCTTATTGTCCAGCAGCCTCAGCCTCCTTATATTCGGTATGGTAGAGTCCCATCTCTTCTCTACAGTGAGGGATGCTACAGCACCCATCTCTACTCAGGGCATAATGTAACCTTGCTTCAAAATAACAAGTCACATCTTATGACAGAGCTACCAACAGGAATCCTATTTCCCATAAACAAAACTCTTACACTGCCCCAGCTTCTCTTACCTTTGTAGATAGTAACCTGGTCAAGTAGATCTCAGGTAGGACTTTTTTCCTATGGCTCTGTCTATGGGACTTCTTATGTTCAATCAGTTCATCAGTTGGAAGAACCTGAGTCAATATAAAAAAAATATGCTCAAGATTCCTGCCTTCGGGACATCTTTTTACTGAGTAAAAAGGGATGTTACCAACACACAATTTATATATTAAATAAAACATTATCTATGCTGCTAAACACACAATTAGATTAGTTAAAACTGAAAGAAACTTAAAGCTCAAACTGACTTTTTGCTATTTGTGCCTTTTGTTCTATTTCTCTTAACTTGGACAACGAAAATGAACCGATGAATTTCATTTAAGTTTTTGGTCTATTTCACTTCTTGAATTCCCCCAGTGCTGCTGTAATTTGGGATACCAGCAACACAAGGCCAGGCTTACACAGAAAAAGCAGCTTGCCTTGAAATGTGGAAAAAGCACAAAAACCTTGTTTGATTTGTTAACAAACCCCCTGCTACCTTTAAAACAAAATCTAAATGTTCCATTGTTCAGATCATTGAATTAATGCCCTGGCAGTGCCCTAGCATGTCACTGATGTACCTCTTCTTCTTATTTTCTATGTGCACTTTCACCCTCTCTCTCTTCTCCTGCAGTGTTCTAATATTTTTTATTTGGAAAGATGTGAAGTTCATAAAATATTTCCTGATGCTCGAAATGCCCCTTTCCCCCTTATAACGTTTAACAATACATCACTTCAGACTTTCAGAGTGCTGTCCAAACATGAACTCATAAATCCTCACTACCCCACTGAGATGGGTGAGGAATAATATATATTAAGTGACTTGCCCAAGGCTTCAGTGGCAAAGCTGGGATTAGGAAACAGGCATTTCTCTCCTAGCTTCCTGCTCAGTCCATGCTGTTGTTCTGAACTCTCTAATGGTAACGGGCAGCTAGAGCAGGCCACAGATCTCTGCTCTGTTTCCATTGCAGCACCGGTTTTATGTTCCATGCTGGTAAGGCTGTCTTATATGCAGCCTCTCGACCCCGCTGTTGGTCTCTCTGAAGGGGAGGTATCATGGGGAGCCAGCATCTCACTGAGTGCAGTGTAAAGGGGTTCCTCTGCCACTATCACACATAGTGCTTCAGCCCCACGGAGCTGGGTTACGTTAACATAATCAAGGCTGAAAGAGGATTCTCTCCTCTTCCATCACGTACATGGAAATGACATGGGTCCAAAAGCAGAAATACCGTGGGGGGAAGAGGTTACCAGGAATATCATAATAATATAGTCACATTGAGTAGGATTCTCCTCTCCCATCGAGTTTCATACCATTGGAACTTACCTACCCCTACTTTGGAATGTAACTCTTTGGGCCAGCTCTTTAGCTGGTGTCAATCGGAACAGCTCCATCGACATCAATGGAGCTATGCTGATTTAGGCCAGATGAAGATCTCTTGCTATAACAATCCATGATGGAGCAACAGAATAAAAAGGCTGGAATCCTTCTGTATGGCAGAAACGACTTCCTTGTAAAGATTAAGTTGATAGGCTTGCAGTGAACTCCATTTTTTGAAACATCCCCAACTAGCAGGGTTTTGCTCTTCCTGCATCTGTAGTTGGCAGCCATCAAAAAGGTGAAATATGTTTGAGACTATGATCAAGATTAAGATAAAAACTGAATTCTCTCTGCCAAACATACCGTATGTTCAAGTATTACCTTCTTACACAAACAACGCAGTAACCACAGGGGGTCAGCCAACCCCCTGGGCAGGCCTGATCACCAGCCAACAAGCTAGCTGGGTGACAAATGCATCCGCCTGCATTTACTGTACATATGGAAAGCATTCCTAGCTTTGCCTTTGACAAAAAAACTCCGCACAGCATTACTGCCCTTTGAGTGCACATTAATACATTGCTGCAAGGCAGGCTCATTCCATAACAATTGTACATTGCAAATTCCATCTGGCCAGGCCTCCTTCCCACCCACTACACTCCTCCAGCTAAGTAATTCTTTTCCCAGCCACAAGACAAGGCTCCAGGGAAGTTGTTGTTGGGATTTGTGTGCACTGATTGCCTTTTCCTTAAGTTATCAGTACCTCCTTTCTCAGGCAATTTCCTGGTGAGAGGGTCCAGTTCCCAAATAGACATTTCCTACAAAGGAAACGGGGAGGAGGTGGGAGATGGGTGAAGTAACCCCCCAAGGAAAACAGCCTTGGCCACACACAGTGGGAGAGTCATTAGCCTTGATTGCTTTTGGAACGGGATACTTACTAAATGAAAGTATTTTTCGGTATCCAAATCCTTCACTGGAAAAAATAAAGAAAAACAGAACAGCTTAGTTTGCTATGTTGTGCCGCAGACAACTTCATACAGAATCAGCTAATGGAAAAGTTTGGGTATGGGTGCTGTGTTTTGGGGAAGGAGCAGCAAGGACAACACTTAGTGATTCTTGTACAAGGCACTTTAGCTAATCCTGACAGCCTTTCTGTGAAGTTGATATTTAACCCCTTTGACAGATGGGGAAACTGAGGCAGAGCGGCACAGTGACTTGCCTGAAGACCGTGCCAGAGCCAGGATTAGAACTCATGAGTTGCCAAGTTCCAGTCCTGCACTCTGATCACTAGTTATGTTTGGCCTTGTCTGGGCTGTACTTCAGCATTTATCATTACTGGACAACATACTGTTTGACTCAGATTTCAGAAAGTCTCTTATCACCCAGTCTCAGAAAGGAAACTGATTTCTATATGCTGACTAAATCTGGCGGCCAAAAGCTGCTGTAACTGTTTGTTTGCAGGCAATGATTTCTGCTTTCAGACTCTGATGGTCAATAGCTACAGGGAAAGACCCAACAAGACATACATTTCTGCAAAGGCACATTTCACTGGGGCACCATCCTGAATCTACTCCATTTATTCTGTGAGTGTGTTACTCTGAGTGGCAGCATCTCTGTGGGGGAGAGGGAGGGTAGGTGTGTTGCTTCAGCTGCTCTTTGAACTTGCTCTTGCATGGCAGTGCAACACTTTTCCTCCACCCTCCGCTCCATCCAACGCAACCTTCCTCCCCCATCAAAGCAGTGCAAAGATCTTCAACATTCTTGCAGCTTAAAAGTGATCTCAAAGGCAAATGACATTGGAGCTGTGCCATTTTTTCTTCTTTAGCACGTGTGAAGGCCTAAAAAAATTGGCAACTTTTAAACTTTATGTTTGATTTTTTCTTCATATGAAATTCTTTTCTACCCTGCCTTTGCCGGATGACTCTATGCAGCACTTGAGAAGTAGACGAATGCTGACATTAAAAGAGACTGACCCTGCGTAATTGAGAGGCGAAGGGATCTTTGATTAGAGAGTTTCAAACTCCTCCTTTTCTGTTTTGTTTTTCTAAACACCTATTCAATGCAAACCTCCAACAAACATCTGGGAGAAAAAGGTTCTTTGTGAAAGATTCAAACACCTTCAAACTGAGGGATAGATAGGTCCCAGCCCCATTTTCTACACAGTACTTGAGCAAACACAGGAGGAGACTTGATAATCCAGATGTTTAAGGTTAAAAAAGAAAGAAATCAGAACCCTCCCCTCTCCTCCACCCACAAATTTCACTAATAAATAATAATTATTATTATTATTATTAATTATTATTATTTGTATTACCATAGCGCCCAGGAGCCCCAGTCATGGACCAGGACTCCATTGTGCTAGGTGCTGTATAAACAGATTAAAAAGGGGCTTAGCACAAAAGGACACAAAATCAATTGTTTTTCCTTTTTACAAGTGACCTATAAAACCCCTAGTGTTGGAATGAAAAGTTTGGAAGTTTCATCTCAGGATGTCAGAGTGACACATGAGGATCGACCATAAACCCTTGATCTACGACTCGCACACCACTCATCCAACTAAAAACTCTTCACCCCTGTGCCTGATGTGAAGCATTCAGCAGAAACTGGGAGCTGGGCTGTCACAACACTAAACAGCAGCCATTCAAGTACAAAGCGTGACAAATGGGCCTATTCAGCAGCATTGATGGAGATGACCTCATGCTGTTCAGCCTGATGACCAACGTATTATAGTCCTGGCAGTCTCCCGTCCTGGCCCCCCACAGCTCTGCCAAAATACTGCAGCAACACTGCTCCTAGCTCTTTGGATTCCCTTTTTTTTTTTTCTTTTTTCCAGACTGTTGGCCGCCACACAGAAAATGTCATGCACTGCAGTCAATAGAGCACTAAGTGTCTCTGCTCTGTCTTTCTGTCTCTTTGTCTAGCCATCAATTCTGGCTGAGGGTGCTGCACCGTTCATATATAAATGGCAGGATTCAGCCACACAAGTTCCTGTAGCATTAGCGTTCTGTGACCAGTTGAAGACATTTGGGGCTTGTTGTATCTCAGTAGTAAAGAATCCAATGGAAAGGAGGGGGTGTTTAAGAGCTGATTGCTCATTCTTTATATATTTGCCACAGTGCCATGAATGCCTCTTAACTGAATGTAGGACACAGTTTAATCATAAGCCCCATTGGGTAAAGAGCACCAGCTGGAAAAACAATTGGAGATCCTGATATACTGCGCCATGAGCTCGGCACTCCAGAGGGCGCCACAGCCAGCCCTATAGGTAGTGCTGAGGCAAAAGTCTTCGACAGTTGAGCACATGGGTGCGTGCACACCCAAAATCGAATCGACATAAGCAAGCACTCGAAGAAGAACAATTGGAGATCCTGTTGGAGCTCTGATAGCTTCCAAAGGACACAATGATCTATTCCATTGTCACAGGCTCACTTAGAAGTAGCCAGGTCACCCTGCCTAGCAAAGCTGAGATCACACTACGACTGTGGGGCCAAATCCTCAGTTTTTACTCCCACCGAGTTTTACCTCAGGCTCTGGGTCCCAGTGAGGATCACAGCTCGATAGCCTGCCATGCTGTGCAGCACCACAGAAAAGAGACAGATGAAGCTGAAACTGAGGGCACTCAGCACTGGGGCTGCAGGCATCTCAGAAATATCTGCCCTGTGTACTGATGGGGGCTGCCCATGTGTTTACAGCATTCCCAGGCAAAGAGGAGGTGTGTCATAGGCTGAAGCTGATTATCATCACTGGTTAAATGCTTGATGCATTTCCAGGGATGGTGCTCCAGGAATGATGGGAACCACAATATTCTAGCTAGCCATGGGGTTAACCCCACACTCATCTGTTCAGCGAGAAGTCTGAAATGTGCAGTCTGCAGGCTCTTTGCACCCCCTCAGAGCTAACCCTGATCCCACTTCCCATCTCTAAAAACAAACGTCACCTGTGCAATCACTGTGAAAGAGAAAGAAAAGCAAATTACCTCGACTTAGCGTGGTGTCCTTCTTATCTGATAAACTCATTGCCAGAGAGGCACCTTCAGGAATCTGAGGAGGAGGAGAAGAACAAAGGTAAGGGATGTCAAGGAATACTCGGGATTACAGCTAAACGAGGTAGCTCTGTAGCTGGGGCAGCCTTGTACTGGTGATGCAGCTGTGTTTGAACAGCAAACATAAACTGCCATGCTGAAGATGACAACCACACCTCACGGAATAAAATGCTCTGATGTTGGCCCCAGATTTAGATGCCTAACTCCCAATATTTCAATGACATCAACGGGAGTTAGGCACCTAAATACCTTTGAGCATCTGGGCCCTAGTGACTAATGACACAGGTGCCTTGCCACTTTCAGGGGAAGGCCCACACTTCATCTCTTTCTCCAGGCTAAGAAGATGGATGGGAGAATGGCCTTCGCTAGGAGTGTGAAGAAATACACTATCTGGATTTGACTGATGCCAAGCAAGAAATGAAATGCTCTGTGTGTGTGTTTAGTGCAAGCTCCTCTCGTGGTGGAACTATTGTTATTTCTAAATAAAGAGAGAAAGGATGGTCCAATGGTTAGTGTGCTAACCTGGGACTTGGGTCCAATTCTCTGCTCTGCCACAGACTTCCTGTGACTGTGGGCAAATCATTTGGCCTCTCTGTGCCTCAGTTTCCTATCTGTAAAATGGGGATAACAGTATGTCCCTTCTTCGTTGAATAAACACCTTAAAGACAGTGATGTGCTCCAATACTATGGTACTGGAGGCCATATAAGAATCTAAGATAGATAAATGGTTCCAGACACCACGGTGATAGACACCTCAGATTTATGTATTAAAGTAACAACACATCAGATTATTCAAAAGAAAAAAAAATGGCTTTTCACATTTAGATGCTTTCGCTCCCAAGGAAGAATGCCACCAAATTTAGACTGTCAGCTCTTCAGGGGAGGGACAGTCTTTTTGTTCTGTTTTTGTGCAGCACCTAGCACAACGGGGCCGTGGTCCCTGAATGGGGCTCGGAGGTGCTACCACAGTAACAGCGATCATAATGTTTCACTTTTGGTTTTCCATGCACTGTGCAGCAGTGCAGGGTGGATTGTGCTTCCAGCATTCCAGGGGTACGTGGAAATCAAAAATCCAGTAAAAACTCCAGTTTTCATTTAGTTTTAAAAGTAAAAAGAGCCAAGAAAACATCTCTGTTCAGATCCATTTTTGGTGAAATCACATGTAACCTACATTTTAGGCTTCAGCTCCTTGACAGCGTCACTTTAAGTAGAACGCCCTGTTACAAAAACAAACAGCTCCCATTTGCGGGCCAGAGCCTGCTCTCAGGACAGTCAATGGCAACTCTATCATAGATTTCAGTGGGAGCAGGGAACGGGAGTGCTATGATGTTCATCAGCATGGATGGTGGCCATTGGGAATAGGAGCCTTTTATGTTGTCAGTAATAACTTGTTTTGCATGAAGAGCATTTAATTAATCTCAATGTGTTGCAATATTAATGAGTTTCTTGCCAGGGCAGATGTCTGTTCCCCGGAAGCTCTCATGGAGCTATGGCAACCTTCCTGCTTGTCTCTGCTAATCCTCCTTGGCAAGGGAATGTCCCTGAGGACAGACTGGCTGGAAGGAAGGGAAGTCCCTCTGTGAGCACTTGCAGTTTTACCTTGTAGTGGGCTAAAGTGTTGAGCTTCTTTCTGCCATCCTCCATCACTGAAGTGTCATCGAGGTCCCGCAGGACGTAGCTGTCAGTGCTTGTGGCAAACCATTCTAAATACAGACAAGGGAATTAATGCAAAACCAGCCTGAGCAGTGCACGTGTACCTCGGCTTGGAGCAATGTGTGCTTAGACGCCACATTCAATGTAGAGAACAGGTGCTTGGAGGTGTTGGGGGCTCTGCTGTGCCATGTGACTGGAACACAGCTGCCTCTCACAGGCCTGCGGTAGGAAAGCTTTCAGGATTAACTCGAGAAGCGGGAAGTGCAATTTCCTGGTTTAGGGCAGGAAGGTGAACTGGGGCTGAGCCCACACTGGACTGTATGGTGCGGAGGGAGGTGCAGAGGGTTCTGCCCATCTCACCAGGTGCAAGTGTGCAGCCCTGTCAGTCCCCATCCGGCATAAATTCTCCACTGCGCCCAGCAATCTGACCCACTCCCTACAGCGCACAAGAGGGAGGGCTGTGTGGTGTGGGCAGAGAGTGGGGATTGCTATGCCTGGGCTTCATTTTACCAGATTCCGGGCCCCAAAGGCCAGTGTGCATCAGCCAATGGAGAAAAAGCAAAGTGTTCCCGCTCTTCTGCAGGATTACCTGGAGACATGTACCGGGGCATCAGCTAGTGGTGAGCCGGGTGAGGGGCACAATTGCTACTTGGTGCACATCTTGCCTTCTGCATGGGCATTGCTTAGCGAGGCTTTGGCCATGGTGAATGTCACCCCTTTGTGGCTACCTGTGACATTGAATTCCAATGGCCATGTAATCTCCTCCTCCATTTTTTCCTGAGTGCACTTGCCTAGTATGTCACCCATGGCCACACTCACCATTCCAAGTCAATTGGGATGGGGAGCAGGGCCAGGCAACACCTTGGCCAACTACTGACAAAGAGCTGAACAGGACACAGCTGTTTCCTAACTTTCCCTTTCATTGTTAGGGCCTGGATCACACCTGGCTCCCTGGAAAAAGAGATGGCCCATAGGTAGATAAAGGAAATGTCTGAGTCTATGCCCAGACTAGTGCCGGTAAGGTGATGAATGTTACCCATTAGTATGCAGATACAAGTGTCCGTAATTGAGAGTAAGACAGCCCATGCTGGGCTGAGCAATACACACAGGGGCCAGAAGAGAGGAGGGCAGGGTTTAAGAAGGTGCAAGTTAAAGTACCTCTCCAATGTCTTAAGCTATTCTCCTGTCCACTTGCTGTGTACATAACACCAGCTTCCCCTGTCCTAATGCACAGCACTTCACACATCAGTCAAACCAACTGGAATCTGGCCCTATGACTCATTACCAGGGATCACTGTTCCCCCAGAACGGGCTCTACTTCCTCTGGGTATGCCCCCTCTCTATCCACCCAACCGGCCAATGCCGATGCCAAGAGCTGACGGCTGCTCAGTGTACACAGTGAGCTCCTTCACCCTTAAAATAAGGACTGGCATTTCTCAAGGGAAAAGAGTCTTTACCAAGGTCAACATCTTCTACTCTTGGCCACTGGGAGTACGGGACATTCTTGCAAAAAGCTTCAAGGATCTTCTCTTTAACTTGACTTAGAGTATCTGTGTCCATGACCCGAACACTCAGGGAGTCCATGCCGCAGCCTTGGAAAGACACATTGAGGTTCTGTGGGGAGAGGCAGAGTTAGGGTTGGGGTGATCTGTAATGGATGGGGATGATCCATAATGGGCTGTTGATTCCCAAGGACACCGAGAGGTTGCAGGGCACGTACAGTTTTTATTGGTACATTCCATGCATCGTGCTGCTAGAAATCCCACTGAACAGAATCTCTGTCTGAGTCTCAGTGCTGGTGAAAGATGCTGATTTACAGCCCTGGAGACTGAGGGCCCCTATTTATTCACAGAGCTAGGGGTGCATGAGGAGCAACAGTGCAAGCTTCCCCTACTCTGCCCTGCTAAAGGGCCTTAGCCCTGCCCCACAGGGACCACCTCTAAGGGTGAGAGGGTTGTTCAGTCTCCATGGCCCATTCATGTCCTGCTGAGACTGGTGACAAGGGAGACAGTCAGTGCCCATTGTTGTGGCTTCCTGCAATGCTATGAATGGACTCCCTCAGTTGCATAAAGGTTTTGTTGTATCAGACATTGGGCCAAGTTTAGTACTGGGGTAAGTGGGGGCAGTGACATGGGAGTCGATGAAGCTGTGCTTCATCAACTCCCATGGAAAGGGGTAAATTGGCCCATTGTGCATGACATTGTGAAAACGTTCACATCAGCCAGACACAGGACAGCAAAAGTGACGGCTATCTTCTGGGAGAACAGGACAGTGTGGAGCGTATCCTGTTCTCCTCTCTTTGGGGAAGCTACCAATGAAGTCAAAGGAAGAGCAACAGAGGCTCACATTCTGGGTGTCCAATCACATCGCTCCTCCCAACACAAGCTGGGCTGATCCAGTATTCCGATTCAAATCCCACTTTCCAGTCACTATTGCTCCAGCGTCTCTCTCACCCCCCTAACACCACCAACTTGATTCCAAACGAGCTTCAGCACCACCTCCCATTTTGCACCCACACCGTTATGGGTGTTGTTTTTGTGTCTCTGTTAACAGCAGGCCACTTAAAATCACAGATGGAATTTTCACAGGAGCCCAATGGAGTTAGGTGCCCAACTTCTTTTGGCTCCTGTGCAAGTCCCAGCCTAATGTGTCAATGGAAGCATACACACCAAGAACGCATGGCAAAGAGCATGGAATACGTGCATACATAGGCAGAGTCAAAGGGAAAAGTTTGCCCCTAGCATCTAATGACAGGTCGTTTTTTTTTCAAGGTGAAATGTGCAGCCAAATTTCAAACCAGCTTCAGTTACCATCATTTGGGGGCTTGGCAGTGAGTCTGAACTAATCCAGGACTCACTCTGCTTCCAGCTGCCTACCTTGCTCTGGCTTATTTCTGTTACTTGCAAGCAAAGGGTCAGCAATTCTCCCCCACTCAAACTCAAGAAGTTACCATCTCTGCTGAGAAAGTTAATAGCTAGAGTCCTGCTGCTAATCCTCCTTAGTCTGCGCAGTGAATTACAGGTCAATTGGTAAAAGGAAGCTGCAGAGATGCAGCTAAGGATATAGGGTCAAAACCTGCTCTCAGTGTAGTGTAGACATAGCCAGTCACACTGATGTACATCTGGAGTAGCCTCACTGATTTTAGTGGAGCTGCTCCAGGTTTTCCCCATTGACATCAAAAGCAGAATTTGGGCCAGGCTCTGGATAGGCCTGTCTACGGCATTCTCTGTAGGCTGATGGTAACAAGTCTCTTTGAATATACATTTTTGTCTGATTTATTCCTGAGAGGCATTTTACAGGATTACTTTTCAGCAGGATTCCTATAACATCCTGTACAAAAGCCTTCACACCAGATCTGCAACTTTATAGCTAGCAACTTCTCATTGGCACTGAAGTCACTGACGTGCCAGAAACTGTAAAGAGGAGACACTCTTTGTTCTTTAACCCTCTGACTGCCAGAGAACAATATCTATCTATTTAGCATCACCCCAATCTGGGCCAATCAGATGGACTCTGCAAGAGCCAGGTTCGATATGTTCCTTGTCGAGGTTGTTGCATGCCTGCTTTTGAAACAGGGTCACCACTGCACATGAAAAGTGCCTATACCACTGCATGTCTAACATGCACGATTATCACAATTATATGTACAAACTGGGTAACAGCATTTGCAGAGGAGGGTGAATCATTTACATGCCCAATAATCTGATCTGACTGTGCGATCAAAGGAATGACAAATGCAAGCAAAGGTGCAACATTACACACATACTTTGCGAGTACAGTTGCACAGCTATCTCTTTTTAAACATCAGCCTCTACAGTTTTCTTGGGCAAACATTTTTTAATTGCCTTTTAGGCTTTTGCAGAATCCTGACATGGCATCACGTGAGGGGTTCAAGACTCACTTACCCTTGGCTTTGCCTCAATGTTCTCTCTCAGCAGCCATTCTTCATTGAGAGTATACCTGGCTTTTCCCGTGATGGCATCAATGGAACCCTTGTTGATCTGTTGTTTGATAGCACAGAGCAACAGGAAGAAGGGCTCCCCGACTGTCTCCTGGGGAAAGAAAAGGAAAGGAAGTGGGTAACCAGGAATCAATTAAAGTAAATCCTTCAAACTACATGGTCCTTTAAGACAGGGTCTGCACAGATGCACCAGGTAACATAGTGATTTCATTCTGCAAGGTCCCAGACACCTCTGGAGTTGGAAGTGCCTGCTGTTTAAGGGACTGATCCATGCCAGGTGCTGAGAAATCCCTGGAAAGAGCTCAGTGCCCTCAACTCCCACTGAATTCTTGGGAGCTGAAGGCATTCAGCATTTCACAGTAACAGTGCCTGGCAACAATACACAACACATCAGTTTAGGACAGGAAGTGAAGAAGGATGTCACATCCAACTGAAGTCTAAAATTCCCAACTGAACTGAGGGAATTTTAGAGAGGCAGGATGTGATAGCCCAAATCAGGCTGACTAACTCCTACAAGAAGTGCTGCAGGATCATGAATTACCACAAATGGGACATGGCTTTATGTCTCATAACTAGAATGCAGTGTTTATATGGTTTAAAATATATTGACAAAATAGATAGTGTATCATATAGCACATTGAGCACAAATATAAGCTCTGCATTCGCACAGTCCCTACCACAATGGAGCCCTGATCATTATAGTACTATCCTAACAACAAATAGCAATACTTTCCTGCTAGTCTCAATCCAGTTCATCTAAACATATTTACAGCAACATTTCTGGTCCAGTCACTCCAGTGACACAGATGCACTAGAGAACTATTATCTATTTCCTTAAAAAAAAAATGTCAGTGCTGGAGTACATCCCATCCACCCTAATGTTCATGTGTTAGTTCTTCCAAATGAAGCAAGTGTAAATTATTGCACATTTATATTTTTCTGAGCATCACATGCACGCACAGACATACATATATGCACAACCCTGCCATCTGAAACTCTACCCAAGACAACTGATATCCGAGTATTCTGACATTTCTGAACCATGAGATGCTAGAGCCTGTTCAATCTGCTTCTTAATTAAGACTTGGTGAGTCTTCTATTCCAAATTCCTTATAATTGCTAAAGCAATTAGTTCAATGTCAGTTCTGATTCTGCTGCGTTCAGTGCAGCTAATGATACGACACTACAATATGGGTGTAGGTGGGCACACACCATCTGTGCCACAGTGCATATATTTAATTTTCCAAGGGTGACATTTCTAATGAAGCTGGAAAGTTTACTTGGGGCTGCTGTGGAAGTTTAACAACTTTCTGTAACATTCCTTCTGAATGGGGTAACATGCTAGTCATCCCAAAGGCACATGCAGGAATGCATGGCTGTGCACTGGGAAAGGTGTTTAGGAGGAACTGGTTGTGCTTTTAAGGATTGGGAAAAGTTGCAGGGCTTGATTAGAGATGTGAAAATCAGAAGGCATGGAGATGACTTTGGTGAAAGGAGAATTCATAGCCGTCATTCAAGAGGATGACATTGACGCTGAGAGAGTGTTTTGACAGGAACATGCAAATGTCACCTGCTTGCATCATTATGTGATTTGGAGTTGGGGCGCCTATAAATTAACCTCGTTGCATTCAGTGCTCCCAAAGCTGGCCTTGCTATGATGAATCAGGACTTTCTCTGTTTTACACAGCATGTGATCATGTATTTATAGGGAACGGTCACAGGTGCTCAGTTCAGATGTGGGATTTGAACTCCATCCCCTGAAAGGTTGGAAGGTGCTTGAATCCTGGATTTAGATTCAGCCTATTACAGAAAGAAGGGCCAGTCATGAAAGCTGCATCTGGATCCTGATTCAGATTCAAACCCTCCTCCCCCGCCAAAGTTTAGGACAGGTGGTTTGATTTGGTTCAAGGCTCATCTCTATCCACATATCATGACTGCATTTCTTGCTTCCACTTCTCAGACTCTTCAAAAACCTCAGCTAGAGTTAAATTACACCTTAGTCATAAAGCTGCCTCCAAAGCCAGCAAAAGCTTATTGTGTGAGTTCTGCTGGTAGATTAGCTATTTACTACTTGGTTCCAACCTACTATAGTGTGTTGAGTGAAGCTGATCATGTGGCAAATTTTTGTGTATATGAACATACCATGGAGGGAGAATGGCCCAAGAAATAATTGAAATGGGTATATCAGACTCTGCTGTAGCATAAAGGATCATGGTCTAACACCCAAGAGTAATAACACAGAAAATAAACTACAATGCTCAGCCTGTTAGATTCTATTTCTGTGTTTGGCTCTTAAACTTTAAAATCCAGAAACCATGGGCTGTTGTGGAAATCTGCAAAAACATTAATCAGACAGAAAATGTCAAAGATGGGAAAAGGAGGCTGGCAGGCAGGCACTGAAGATAAAATGGCTAACTTGGAAATCTGGACTATTGCTGGGAAACCAGTTTGGAAATGAGTCAAAAACTGCCTTTGGACTCAGCTAGTTTTGGGGGAAGAAATTGAACTAGCAAAGATTAGTGCTGATTCAGGAGAAAAAATATTTTTTTTTCCCAAAAAGCACATTTCCCCCCCTCCCCCATTATGAATGTATTTTAATTAGACTTTTTTTAAACATTTCTGACTGCAGTGTTATGGGCTCTTAAAATTACCTTGGGCACCAAAATAACTTTACAGTAATAGAAAGCACAGTAAAGGCTGGCATCATTTGAACTGTTCCATGCATGATGCATGGGGCTTAGTTTTTATATGCCTGGATTTCAAAAGTGACTTGGAAAAAAAATTAAGATTCAGAGCACAGACGGGATTCACATGTTACTCCTGCATTAATGAGCTGATGTGTCATTAGAGATGTCCTCTTGGGAACATATTACAGACATTTCCAAAATGCTTGAGCAGAACAATGGAAAACTCCTGTTTATTCCAAGTGCCCAGTACTAGGAAGTTCCCACCAAAGTTTCAGGCTAAACGAGTGCTTGCCATATGAGGACAGAGGATACTGGATGTTAGAGATGGACCCAAACCAAAACCCCAGATCCAAAGACACCCCATGCTGTTTTGGATTTCCACTTTTGGACTGACTCCCTATCTATGTCATAGAGAGAACCAAAACCCAGATCCATCCATCCCCACAGGTTTTGGGGAAATTGGGATCGGGATCCAGATCTGAACATTGTATTCCAGGTCCATCTCTAGCTAATTATTGTGCCATTAACTTTCATTTTCACATCCTCTCCACACTTCCTGGGTCTATCAGGGACTAGACAGCAAAGTGCTGAAATAACACCCGGGAAAGGATCTTCTTTCAGTATTTCCTGTATAATCATAAGTATGCAGTACTGACATGAATAATTTCACCTGGATCTCCAGCTCAGTTCTGCAGTCAATTCAGATCATTTGGATAAGCTTTGCATACACATCCAAACTTCTAGATACTTCTCTGACCCTCATCCAAACTCCAAACCTCCTGAGATTTTGCCATCATATGTCCCGAATCTACCAAGGCGAATTCCCCCTTATCATAATAATAACTCCACTCACTACAGAGGTGCTGCATTAAATTTAGGCTACTGGTGACTATGGTCATTCTGAATTTTGTAAGGATCTCTTCTCCATTTGCAGACAGCTCCTCAAATCTTTCTTTGCTGCAACTCAAATGGATGGGCTGTTCGGCAGAACATTAATATAAAACAAATGTTTAAACCGTGTAATGTTAACTTACGAGGGAAAATACAAGCAGTTGGAATTTTTCCGCTGTACAGTGTAAGGGGCCTTTTATAGCAGCTGTTTCAAATAGACATTGTGATTAATGGGGATAATTCAGGAACTAAAAACAGACCCATCGTCACATAAGTCTCATGGCCCAGTGCTACAAGGGGGCTGGTAAATTTCTTTACCAAAAACCGGCTGTGTAAAGGGAAGCACATTTGTTTCACAGACATTAGGTGCACAATGGAGGTGTCTGTCTATCACTGGTAATTTAAATCTCAGACTTTGGGCCAAATCAGCATTGGTGTAAAATTTCACCTGACTTCAGAAGATCTGCATTCAGTTATGCCAGGATTTGATCCTGAGACTCTCCTTTATTCCTGCCCTACACAGTCTACTTGTCTGGCTTTGGGTTCCTCTCTTTCCTATGCCACAATCAGGCCAAGGCTGGTGTGGGAGCCAGGGCCAGCTTCAGACACCAGTGCAGCAAGCCGTTGCTTGGGGCGGCCCATGGAAGGGGGCGGCACGTCTGGGTCTTCGGCGGCAAGTCCCTCAGTCCCTCTCGGAGGGAAGGACCGGCCGCCGAAGAATGAAGCGGCGTGGTAGAGCAGCCGCCGAAGTGCTGCGGATCGCAGCTTTTTTTTTTCTCTTTGCTGCTTGGGGAGGCAAAAAAGCTGGAGCCGGTCCTGGTGGGAGCATTCTCCTCTGGAACTCCTGCCACCTAGAATAGACTCTCTAGATCTCCCCATCTCTTCTCTCTTTTCACATCTCTGCAGGAAACACTGTTTTCCTTTGACTGTCTCCTAACTTCTGTCTCCCACTGCAAAGCATTCTGGGAGGGAGATGATTAGAAAGATACTGTAGAACAAAGCTGTGTTGCACTGTAACCACAAATGTTTATTTTTCAGAAAGAGGGAAACACTCTGTTGTGGAAAGTAGAACAATAGCTTTTATTTTCATAGCTTCAGGCACACCACATAGATCAAGTGGTGGAACAAAGCCACAAGTGAATTACGTTAGCCTGTCTCGAAGGAGTGAAAACCAAAAGGGTCAGTCTACTTCTCATCACAGAGCCTTTTGTGTTATGAAGCACAGTCAACACTTTTCATCTTTTCATGCGGGAAGTCAGCTCTCTCAAGTAGGCCCAAACTTGTTACTGAACTCACTGGTACCAAGAAATTAAACCCTTTAAAGAAATAATAGCTTCTGCTAGGGAACGGAACGTCCGAACCGCCAACATACACACATCACAAACCAGCCTCAAGACTGCATGATGCAGACAGAAAAAAGCCTCTAGCACAGCACCACCTTCTCTTTCTTAAATGCCAAATGTCCCCGTGATTGAGAGAAGGACACAAAACAGGTTTATTTTTTCTACAAGTC